GTTATCTTTATTCCAAAAAAATTTTTTCAGCAGTTTAATTACAAAGGATTTAAGGATAAGAACATTTCTTTGACAAGGCAAAAATTGGTATTTTTCAAGTGCTTGATAGCAAATTTCCCCATGAAAGGGGATTGACCTTTAAGCGTGCAGTATTAGGACATAGCTTTTGTTGGAGACCCATTTCTATACTGCAGTCAGCAGCACATTTCTCTTTTTTTCTTTCAGTTAGAAATTGAACCATTGTCATCCAGTATGCATATTACTTAACTCTAACCATACTAACTGATTTAGCCCTCGGGTATACCAGAGGGGGGACTCATGGGAAATCCATATCAGTAAGGGAACCATGGGTGCCAGGAGAACTGCCAACTGCAGTTTCTGCTTCTGAAAAGGACTCTTGGCAGTTTCTAATGAGGATTTAGGCTAGTCAAATGTACCAGGGAATTCATATCAGAATTCCTCCTAGCATAAGGTTTCTTTTAACTTAAATTGGAAAGTTGGTTTAGGGTACTTAATTATTTTCTAAAGTTTACTTATTTAATTATTTCCTAAGTTGTAGGAGCAATGCTCCTTTTAAATACTTATTTGTTGAGTTTGGTTTGGTTTCCAATTTCATGTAATAGAAGTAAGATATAAATTTGCACTAAAAAAACATTTAAATTTCAAATTAGTTCCATATCCAATTCAAGTTAGATGTAACAAGTGGAAATACAAAGTCATGGTTGTAGAATTGAGAATCTGAGTAAAGTTGATTTAATTGTTCATTAAATGTGTAAATTATAACTGTCATTTACATATCAAATGACTAGGATCTAGGAATTGAATGAAGGTAGAATAGATTTAAGGCAAACACTACAATTTCTACTATTTTTTTTTTTGAATAAAAGATGTATTAATGTGAGGTGCTAAGGGAGCACCACCCATTTACAAAAAATTTACATGTCAATTAGTATATCTACAATAAAATATAGATCTTCAAAACATTCTAGATTATGCCCTAAAACAATAGAGGTAAAATAATGAAACTATTTATCTTTGATGTTATTAAAATCTTGTTCAAGTCCTTCAAAAACCCTGTTGTTTCTCTCTTTCCAAATAACCCCGAAAATGGTAAGAGGGATTAATGTAAACGGTTTGTTACTACTTAGACCATCTTATGCCAGAAGTTCGGAATAAACAGAATCTGTCATTACCCAAGAGATCCCCAGAAGCTCGAGTATCATGCTCCAGAGTTTGTGAGATGTTTGACATTTTAAGAGTAGATGATTACATGATTCAAGAGATATCTTACATAAGAAACACCTGTCTATTGTAATGAATGAAGCATCTGAAAATTATTCCTAAATTTGGAATTCTTTAAGAAATCTTAGGATTCTCTCTAAAGAAATCAATCATAGGCTGCCAAGGCTGCAAATCCAACAAGAGCGCTTCTCACTTCCTGAAAGGAACTTCTCCTTAGTAGACATGTGAACCTGATTCCTAGTTAGGGAATCTAACATCATTCCGATGAAGCACTGAACTGGAACTAGAGAATAGTCTTAAACTTTCATGCTAGAATCACAACAATACTCCATATTAGGATGGGGTGAGATGCTCTTTTTTGGGATGAAAGATGAAATATTATTAGGAAGAGAAACTAACACAAAAAGGAAAAAAAGGGTCCTCTCGCTGCAACCTGAAGACGATAAAAACATAGGAAAAAAAGAAAGGAAGAGGGAAATCAATACAGGATAGCGCCCAAGTCTCCTTGTAAAATGGCTGAAGAAACTCATGATCCTTAACTAAAACAGATGCCAAAAGACTAATCTGTCGATAGCAACCATGCAGATCGGAAACAACCTTTTTGGAAACTATTCCTTTCTAGCCAAAAACCTTCTAGTTTTGTGACTCTTCTGCAATGGCTGCAATCTTTAGTTCTTGAAAGCCTTTGAGATTCTCATTTGACAAAATCCATGTGTTGCGAACACTTCAGCTGCTAAATGTCTAACATAGGCCTTTTCGGTTTTTTAGACATTGCTTAATGTTGTTTCATGTCTTGCCCAAAATGTCTTGACAGCATGTCTTGTTATGTTCTGTTGGAGGATTTTCAGTCTTATTAAAATAAACTTACCTAATAGCTATCCAAATTGCTTTTCAGTGATTTAATATACGACTTACTGATCACATTGAGCAAGCGGTTGACAGAGATTGATGTCTCTACTATCTTGACAGTTTTACAGTGTAAGTTTTGGTTCTATTGTTTCTTCTTAATCCGTTTATTTTTGTCTTTGTGTGTGGTTCCAGCTCCTACGACTGTCGGAAAGCTTTGGCATTTATCCAAATACACTTGTGGGAACATATTGTTTGTACTTTTGAATTTCCTACATTTTTACCATCCGAGTGTCATTATTTTCTCTATTACCTTTTTTTTTGGTTGAGGGGCTCCCTTGCATAAAAGGAGGTCAAACCCCAGCTATAGACCTCAGCATCGGAGAGAAGTACCAATGAGCCTGAAGGCTCTTGATCCATATTTCATTTCAGTAGTAAAGAATTGGTTTTTGCATAGAACCATAATGGGAGCATGATCCAGCTATGTTACTTTTTTTTTTTGTGGAAAAAAAGTATGCATGGAAGAGCATCAGGATGTTATCTATAATGCATTATTCTTTCTCATTTGTGTAGGCTGTGGAATGAAACTTAGGAGTGATGACCCTGGTGCTATGAAAAGTTTCATTGTCACTGTTCAAAATAGTGTCAATGAATTGAAGACTTCTTCTGGAGATGGCCAAACAAAGATAAATGGAAAAAGAGTAATATTTGTATAACTTCTCTTTTATAAAATGTTCTTATGTTTGCTGTAAATTCACAAGCTTTGTTCTGTTATTTGGTGTAGATGGAGTTCATGCTTGAAACCATCTGTGACATCAAGAATAATAAGAAGAGGTCCAAGGAGGATTCAGCACCCCGTACACGGTTAAAGAAATGGCTACAGAAGGTACTGCTTGTTGAGCCCCTTCCCTCTCTCCCATGACTGTTGATCCCTTAACTCCCATGTAGAATACTGACCCTTCAGAGAATCAGGGGTGATTGGAGTTTTATATGTTTCTCTGACCTGCTTTAGGCAATCATCTTCCTTAATCTATCATGGGAGAGTTTGTGTCCAGTCTTTCTTCTTATTGAATGGTGATCCCTGCGTGCTATTTGAATATGAAAGTCTTCTAGTCAACCTCAGTATGATGTTGATCAGTTAGTGTTGTTTTAGTAGTTGAATGTGCAAGGGAAGTAAAGGAAAGGAAGATACTTGTTAGTTTTTGAATAATGATAATGGCAGAAGCCTTCTGTCAGGTTCAGTTCTGTGAAATAGCTTCAGATTTTTTGTTTCATTCTTGTAACTTTTTTATGTTGGGGAGAAAAGTGAAATTTTTAGTTTCCTATTTCCATGTGTTTTACGTGTATTTGTTCTTTATCGGCATATGTCTTGATTTTAACAGCTAAGAGTTGAAGATGTGTTAATAAGAGGACTCAAATGGAGCAAGTTACTTGATCCTGGGAAAAAAGGTCAATGGTGGTTGTCTGCAGATATGCCTGTCTCATTACAGAATGCGGAAGAGGTTGCTAGCACGATTGACAAAGAGACTCTTGAAGCTCAAAAATTGCTGCAGCTTGCTGCTGCTCAGAGAATGAATACAGATGCTAGAAGAGCAATCTTTTGTATAATAATGAGTAGTGAGGACTATGTTGATGCATTTGAGAAGCTTCTGAGGTTAGATTTGTCTGGGAAGCAGGTGGGTATCAATCTTTTATCTTTTTGTTTTGCTCCAAAAATTTGTTGACATTTAGAAAATTATTTATTTATTTATTTACAGATTTAACATTTTACTTATATCTACAGGATAGAGAAATCATGCGGGTTGTTGTTGAGTGCTGTTTGCAGGAGAAAGTCTTTAACAAGTACTATGTTGTTCTTGCTTCCAAGCTGTGCCAGCATGACAAAAACCACAAATTTACTTTGCAGGTACATTTCCTTTGGGCTAAGTTCTGTTGAAGAATCCAAAATTTTCCATTTTACTCAATAAGTATTTAGAAGGCTAAGACTGCTGCATTTTAGTTATAACCGTCTTACTTTTGTTTCTTATTAATCTTATTGATTGCACAGTATTGCTTCTGGGACCATTTCAAAGAACTTGAGTCATTGTCCCTACAAAGATCAATGCATCTTGCAAAACTTGTTGCAGAGATGATTGCATCTTTCACTCTCTCACTTACAGTATTGAAAGCTGTAGACTTCGCCGAGGCCAAGCACTTGACACCAAAGAGAATCATGCATTTCCGGATGCTATTTGAGACCATACTTGAGCATCCTAATAACCTCATCTGGAATATCTTCACCCGTGTGGCTGTCAATCCAGAGTACGAAACTCTTCGGAACGATATTGAGTTCTTCATGAAGGAATTTGTGGTGAAAACCAACAAAACCATTCTAAACAAATTCAAGGTTGCAAAACAAGCCCTTGGTAATGCAGAAGGAATCCTCAAGTGAGCTCTATTTTTGCACTTGTAGTCAGCTGTTTTTTGTGCGCCAAGTTTTGTAATTTAGATTGTGATTTGATTAAGGTAAGTTATGCCCAATTTATTTAGAGATTAGGAAAAAAGTCAGTATTATGTAACAACATAATCTAAATGTAAAAAACAGTTCTTTTTGTTTGTTTGTTCTCATTTACATGTTATGAAATAAATTACGTACGAAAGGAATTTCATCCTTTTTTTGGGAATTTGTTGGATTTTAATTTTAATTTTAATTCTAAATATAATTTTTTCTTCTTCTCGTAAAATTCATTTAAAAATATAATAAATTCAGTTCTTCTATTGTAAATATAAAATTGTAAATATATATATATTTTTTTTGGGAATTGTTGGATTGGATTCTAATTTTTAATTTAAAAAGTTAAAATTTTGATTTGGAGTAAAAAATGTTGATTGAAGACGTAGCATTAATGGAGGGTGGCTAATCCATTTGGGTCAAAATTCTAAAATGAAAATGATGATGATTATTAGTGAAAGAAAAAACCCGGCTGATGATTCGGAATAAGATTCACCATTTGTCTGAGAGTCAAACTGTAAGATCTGTTCGGATCCCCAGAAATAGTAAATCCATGGCGCGGCTTCCAAATGCCCGCCAACAAGAAACACGGTGGCCTGAAAACTCCTCTTCCTTTCTACAATATCATTCCATGGGTGTAAGTTGGGAGAGAATCTCTGAAACCACAATTACTCGTCAGGGGTTTCCACATCCCCTCGCTATTTATTTCTTAGGATTATCAATTCAAATCTGCAGAGACAAGTTTTCAGAGAAATGGAAAGACGATCTGATACAGATGAACCGTCTTCTTCTTCTTCTTCTTCTTCTTCTTCTACTCCTCCTCCGTCAAAGAAGCTGCCCGGAGGATGGAGATCCATCAAATACATTCTTGGTAGTACCACTTTTTCTGAAATGCGTACCCATCAAATACGTCTTCTTCTTCTTCTTCTTCTCTTGGTTGAATACAATTCCTTATTATGTTATGTTTACAGGGAACGAGACCTTCGAGAAATTGGCTTCTATGAGTTTGATAGCCAACATAGCGGTGTACTTGAAAACCAAATACAATATGGAAGGTGTTTTTTTGGTGAATGTGGTGTCTATTTGGTCTGGTTCTTCCAATGTCACCGCCATACTTGGAGCTTTGATTGCTGATACTTGGTTGGGTAGATTCCGTACTCTTCTTTTTGGCTCCATAGCCTCTTTTCTGGTAAGCCAATTTATGTACTCACATTAAGATACTCGTTTAAATGTTGTTGTTCCATTTAACCCATATATCTAGTAACTCCACTAATTAATTCTCCGAAATGAAAAAAGATGATGAGGGTGAGGATGGAATCAGCTTCAAAAACTTTTGAATTAATCCAGCTTTGGGAAATAGAAATATATACTGACGAACTTTTGTGGTTCCTAATCAAAGGGCATGATTTTCATGACCTTCACCGCAGCTATACCGGACTTGAGACCCCCAACATGTACAACGCTGCCAAATTGCACACAGCCTAATAATTGGCAGCTGACATTTCTCTTTGTGGGAATGTCCTTCTTAGCCATTGGAGCTGGAGGGATTAGGCCCTGCAACATTGCCTTTGGAGCTGATCAATTTGACACCACCACCAAGAAGGGAAAAGCTCAGTTAGAGAGCTTCTTCAACTGGTGGTACTTCTCATTCACTGTTGCCCTTCTCATAGCTCTAACAGGTGTTGTCTATATCCAGACTAATGTCAGTTGGCCTCTGGGTTTTGCCATCCCAGCTTCCTGTCTTCTTCTCTCCATAATCATTTTCATCATCGGCCACCATACTTACATAATCATGAAACCTCAGGGTAGTATTTTTATTGACATGGCCAGGGTTATCACAGCAGCCTGTAGAAAACGAAGGCTAACTACTTCTGGGAACTCACTATACGATCCCCCTCTTCAAGAGTTGCCAGGCTTGACCAAATTGCCTTACACTGATCGGTTCAAGTGCCTGGATAAAGCAGCTATATTTGCTGATGAGTCTGAGATAGATGGCAAAGGGTTCCCCAAGAATAATTGGAGGCTTTGTAGCTTGCAACAAGTGGAAGAACTCAAAATGTTGATAGGAATGGCACCTGTTTGGGTTGCAGGAATCGGCTTCTTGATGGCCATGGACCTGCAAAACTCAATTGGGATACTTCAAGCTATTCAAACCAACAAAAAGATTGGATTGTTCAATGTTCCCCCAGGCTGGATGGGCCTCTCATCCATGATTACACTTTCTCTATGGATCCTACTGTATGAGCGCATCTGGGTACCTCAATCAAGGAAATTGTCTGGAAAAAACAAGAGAATGACAATGAAACAAAGGATCAATATGGGTATTCTGATGTCAATAATTTGCCCACTTGTGGCTGCAACTGTGGAGAAGAGGCGGCGTGAATTAGCTTTACGAAATGGTACCTTCGAGTCACCTATGAGCATCACCCTGCTCTTACCACAGTTTGCCTTGTCTGGTCTGCTTGAAGCATTTGGTGCAGTGGCCCTGATGGAGTTCTTAGCAACTAAGTTACCAGAAACCATGAGGACAGTTTCTGGAGCAATCTTCTTTCTGAGCTTATCTATGGCAAGTTACCTCAACTCTGTCTGTGTCAACATTATATTCAAAATAACCAGCAGGAAAGGAGGCACACCATGGCTGGGTGGGCAAGACATTAATAAGAATACACTGGAGAATTTCTATTACTTTGTTGCAGGACTAGGATGTCTAAACATCTTGTACTTCAATCTATTTGGACACCAATATGTGTCAAACCAAGGCAAAGCAACTGGTCACAGGTCTGTTCCTGAATCAAGCAATGAGAAAGAGAAGCTAGAAACAGTTTAGGGACTAAAAGAAATTAAATAGACCGATTGAATCCCAATCTTTGTGCTCTGTTTCTGATGTAGGAAAATGGGTATTTATTAGTAGTACAAATCTATGAAATTGTAATATTTGATTCATCTAATTCAGTTCTGTAACGGGGAAAATCATCATACTTGAGTTCCTTAGCATTTTACTGCAGTAATTGGAGATTTCTTTTGGGTGGCTTTCCTTCTTTCTTCTGGCGTTGTTTGGTGTTTTACTATTGAAATGAAGCCATCAACGAAAACAAAATCAAGGATATGTTTATATTAAACTAACGAATTTTGTAAAATCCGCAATACTATAATCACATTGTAATAAAAATTATTTATGAAAATAATTATAAATTAAATTCTAAAAAGAAAAAAGGTTGGTTGTCTTCAGCTATTCGATTTTCTTTTGGTGAGTTTCTTCTTTCTTCTTTCTTCTTTCTTTTTCGCTTTAATCAATTATAATCTGAGCTTTATTCTGCCAACTTTCTGGAACCCCTGGGCTGAACTTTATACCAAAACGTGGCAAAACATTATAGGTCCACGTGTCAGAATGTAACAAATTCTCTCTCTGTCAAGCCAAGGCAACACAATCAAATCATAACGGCTATATCCACATTCCCGCCCTCATTATCTACCTCTGTATAAAATCTGAATCATCTGTCACATAAACCAGACTCTCTCCCCCCCCCATCGAAATCCACACCTTTGACCCTTCAAACTATCTACGATATTTTGATCATCAGAACCCATTAAACAAATCAAAGAAAGAATGACAAAGATCGACGCTCTCCGTCGATTTCTCCTGCCATGTCTCTCCCCCACCACCACCGCCCCCACCACCACAATCGCCACCAAGAAACGCCTTAGCACCTCCCTAAGAGACGACAAGATCGTCTCCACAACTCAAGATTCTCACAAACCAGACCAAGAATCCCAGGACTCTTCCTCTTCCTCCACTACAGTCGCCACAGTTGACGATGTTACCTCCTCTGCTCCGCCCCGCCAATCCAAGACCATGGTCATCGGAACCATCTTCGGCCACCGCAAGGGCCATGTCTGGTTCTGCATCCAACACGATCGTCTCTCCACCAAGCCTTTTCTCCTCCTCGAGCTCTCTATTCCCACTTATCAACTCGTCCGCGAGATGCGTTCCGGTCTCGTCCGGATTGCACTCGAGTGCTCCGGCAGACCAGACCTAGCGTCATGCCCGCTACGTTCCATCCCTGTCTGGACAATGTACTGCAATGGCCGCATGATAGGATTCGCACTCAGGAGAAAACCCAGTGAAGAGAACCGCCAGATGCTCAAGACGATGCAGTCTATGACAGTCGGGGCAGGGGTCATTCCTTCCGGGTTCGGGTCGCCCGGTTCTGAGGAGGTCATGTATATGAGGGCAAATTATGAGCACGTGGTGGGTAGCTCGGATTCAGAGTCCTTTCACCTTATTAACCCAGATGAATGCCCTGGCCAAGAACTAAGTGTGTTCTTGCTTCGATCGAGCTGATCAGAGATGGGTACCTGGTTCTTAATTTATGTTACTCCTTTTTTAGCTATCTTTTGCCGGTTCTTGCTTTGGAAAATTAGTTTTAATATCGGGCAACTAGAAAATTTTTGGGTTTTCTGGGTTTGATTTAGAGGCTGTTTCTATTCTTGCACTGCCACTGGATTCTTTATCAAGAATTTTTGGGTTCGTAGGGAGGGGCTCTTGATAGAGAAATTTCCGTGTAAGTTTATGAAAAGTTCTTTCATGCGGTTTTTCCATTCTTTTTTCTCTCTTTTCATCTTTTAACAAAGATGGGTGTGATGAAGGTGGATATCATGTCTCCGGTAAGCTGAAAAATTCTGTATTCAAGTTCACATTTGGTTTTAGAACTCATCATTCAGTTCATCAAAATCGGAATTTGCAGACACTTCCAGTTTTCTCTGTAGGCAACTTAATTACTATCATTATGGTGAACTTAGGTACCTCATTTATGCTGTGTGCATTTAAGTCTGATCTCCTCTATTTACCTGCCAAGTAACTTTCTATACAATGAAAGTTAGCTGCTAGAGCTTGGGGAATCCAATAAAGAGAACTCAATTATAACTGAGTTGTATTTTAGTTCTAGTCCTCTTTTGCACACCCTTTGAATGATTTGAGGCAATTGGCTACTTAATAATTTTGAATGATAGTGATCATTCTGTATATTGACTTCTGCTTTTTGAAATTTGTCCAGTCAATTTGATTTGGCTCTGTGTTCAAGAATCCATAGAAGCTTGAATCACAAGCAGTTAACAAAAAATTTTCAGAACATGCATGCTTATTAGGTTCCCAGATGCAGTTAACAAAAAATTTCTTCTTCTTCAAAATTTCCCGCTAAATCTCTTTTATTCTGAAAGAAGAAAAATCTCTTTTGGGATTAAAGTTTTTTATGCAGTAGCCCTACGAAACTATGTTATCCCATTTGTGTAATTCCTTCTTTTTCTTTTAATGGTGCACGATTCAAAGGCTTGATATTCCGTGTTATTTTGAGGTATCTTCCTTTTGATCTCCTCGTCAAGTCGAAAGGGTCATGGAAGATGAATCCAGCTATAAAAGTATTTTTGCTTACTCATATAACAGCTATATGTGCTTGACCATACTGCTGCTTAACAACAACAAATTATGAGACCCTCTTTCCACGTCTATGAGTGGTCTTTATTTGAAGCCATTATCAATCACAAAAATATATAATTCGAATATTTGTAAGCCTCCTGTTAACCTTTTGGCTAAGTTTTGTTAAGTCTAAGCATCCACGGACCACTTCCAACTAGCAGAGAAACCAACAGACAACAGGTGTTCATTAGCTACTTTTGAAAACTTTCTGCAATTCTTTTGACTGACTAATCACAATCTGCCATGTATAAGGACTAATTTAGAATCAAATAACTAAAACCACCAATCTTTTCCGTCATTCCCAAGTTTGTGAAGCAGATATTTTATGTTACAACTGTTTGATTTTAATGGGTAGAAAGATATTGTTGTTCTGAAGGCAAAAGACACATGTTTGAGAATCAGGAACAAAAATATTATAAATTGCCAAAATCTTCTCCCGTACTAAGTTCTTCTTTAATCTCATATAAAAGGAGCTAATCATGGTACAAATCAGAGCACTAACAAGATGTTAGAGGGGAAAGCTGTGGTTTGAGAAACCGACATGATACAGGTGATGCAGAGCCATGTAATGGAGTTAGCATACACGGCTTTGGATCTGCAGGAGGTCTCTGATTGTCAATCCATTGCTCATTACATCAAACAGGTTTGTTTTCAGATTTGGAATATTCTTTAATTAAGTAGCTGTATAGATGCATATATGCTGATGCTCTACTGACCACCTTTTGTTTACAACAAAATATTCACTGCTATAAAAGGTTAATATATATCTGGATCCAATCCATGTTTTAACATTAATTAATTGGTAGTATTAGAATTAAATTAAAGATGGTGGTTAGTGAATAAAAATGTAAAGACAAAAAGGGAAGCTCATTTTCTTAAATGGCAACGCAGAGATGAAAGATTCAAAGGTTCATTCTGCTGTCAAATCACCTCTTTGTTATACTCTTATTAAATTAAATCTACTATTCTTTTCATAGGATCCAATCACTTGGGAATTCTGATGTTTATCATTTGCCCTTTAACTTTTTACTAACAATAATATATCATGGGATAAAGCATGGCTGCATGCAATTAGTCATGCATTCTCAAACTATTTTTATGCTTTTTTCCCTTCAAATATGCTTATATATCTTTCTTAAGAATCAATCAAGGGAAAAGAACATTAGCAATTGACAATGGTGGATAAGCTAGCAGCTGGTGAAAGACTCATTTATCAGACCCCACCAGCCCTTTACATGTCCACTTTCAGCTAACATATATATAGAGGTAATGATTAATATCAGATGCTGTAAACAGAAATTCGATGACGCTCATGGACCAGAATGCCATTGTGTGGCTGGAAAAGAGTTTGGATCTTGCATCACTCCTTTACGTGGTAGTTTCATCTTCTTCAGAGTGGAGATGATGGAGTTTCTCTCATCTTCAAAGATGGTAAAGACTTGACTGAAAGCAAAAATGAAGCCATTGGAGTAGTGGAGAGACTCAAGAAAAACTATCCATGAGACTCGAACCAGTAGTTTATGATGAATTCTAGATTGCAAATGAAAAAAGTGGAACTTAGTTTCAAATTAAACGTTGACAATCACAAATATTTTAAAATTTTGTACTTGCCCATATCAACAGCTGAAAAGTTTCATTACAAGATAAGTGTTACCTCGCAGCCTCCTTAAAATAAGCACCAAATTAGGAAATGACATTAGAGAAGCTGAGCTGAAACTGAAAACCAAACAATAAAACAAACCAATGAACAAAATAAGAGAAAGGGAAGAAGTTGATCTTTGGATAGCACCTGATGATATCAGTTGTCAGTGTTCTAGCTTCAACAAGTAAAAATATATGTATATATTGGTATTGGCAGGAAAAGGTAATCCGCATCCCAAGGTCTGGATACATATATATATATACACGACAGGTATGTCGATCCAAACCTCAGGATGCAGATTAGCTGGTCCTTACCAATACGAGCAAAAGAGAAGAGGTTTAAGAGGAGGATTTGTGGGTAGAAGTTGAAAAAAAATGCGTTAAGGCCATATGCATATAATGAGAGGAATTTATAATGGTTAGCTAAGGTGATACATATTCTCTAAACAGGGGCCAAATGGGGTGCATATAGTATAAAGGTGGTAGATAAGGTGCTCTAAATTAGAATCATGGTTATTTGATTCTTTATTCCATTCAAAACAAGGGCAAATGATAGGCCATGCAAATTACTTTTCCATAGAAAACGAAAGCTTTCATCTTGACTACTTTTTCTTTTTTGAAGACTACAAATCCTTCTCTAACTATTCCCTCCAAATTATTGAGACACTATTCCAAGTCCTTGAGCAAAGACGATAATCATCACAAGCTTCTCCATCGGCAATTGGGAGAGAGAGAGAGAGAGAGAAAGATGTTTTGTGTGATTGCAAGTTTATCACCATCACGATACTCTTAGGATTCTTAAACTCTACAAATTACTTTATATATAGAGTTATAAAATTCAATGAATTTTTTCCTATCAATTTAAACTGTTGATATATTTATTTCAACTATTATAGGTTCGTGTATATATATATATATATATATATATACATACATATATGAAAAAATGGTCAAGGAAAAGTTGAATTTATTCAAAATTTTGGAGCATTAATACATGTACTAACTTACAATCTATCATCATCATGTGACTGAGATTCTCCATTGAGCAAATGTTATGGTTGTGATGATGGAAGAAGAAAATGATTATCTGACACAATCAATGCGAGTGGAATGAAGAAGATCATTTTGCCAAATCTACCAACCAAATCCAAGAAATAATGAAACTTGATTTGTCCTTTTCCATGCTTCACCTAGCAACTTTAAACATGAGAATAGATGCCATTGCTACTTTTTCATGGCACATGTATTCTAGGATACACCTCATAACTTATTATCTTCCTTATATTCAAATTAAAATATTGTTACTCATGTCTTATTCTTCAAAATGTTATTATATATATATATATATTAAGTCAGATATCATATAAATTTTAAATTTAACAAATGAATTTTAACGAAAATTATTACCTAACAGTAAAAAAAAATATATATATATTTTAAAATACTTGAGAGTTATTAGAATTAGTTTTTTAATTTATAAAAAAATTATTTAAGGTAAAAATAAAAAATATTATATGAATTCTAATTTTTAGTTAATAAGATGATATTAAATTTATTTTGAGATATGTAATTTACTTTGAAAAATGGGGACGGTAAGTTAGAAGAGTTTAAAAGAATATATCATATTATAAATCAATGATTAAGACAAAATATGTTGTTATAATTAAAAAAGCAAAAAACAATATGAATTCACACGTCCAACACATAACTTGAAATAGTGTCAAGAATTGTCGAGTCGTTCAACATTTAGAAACAATAGAGCCATAACCAAAGTCATATTAGTGGTTGAAACATATAGAGTGAAAGTAACATTTAGTCAATAAATTTATACAAAAAGGAGATATAATTTGACAAGAAAATATAGTAAATTCACTAACTTTGCATTACTTTAGCAGCAATTTAAACACCATTTAGAAAACAATATAAGTAAGATGGAAAGTACTATGAAAAAAATATTTTAAAGAAAAAAAAAAAGTTAAGTTTATCCACGAAGAATCTTATTAAACTAAAGAGTTCAAAAAAATTAGAGTTTACCGTGAAAGTATTGAAGATCAAAGAAGCTTGAATTTTTTTGGCCTCATTATCCCAAACATGATCAAGATGAGAAGACATCTTTTACAAATCTTTAATATCCATAAATTGCATAAAAATTTTAAAATTTAAAAAAGAAGTTTAAACTCATAATAATGTAAATGAGATCTTAATAATGATTAGGAATTATCTTTGAAAAAGTGTTGAATCTTGCTTTAACCAACACGTTTTCATGCTTGAAAAATTATTTTTTAACATAATGAAAATAAAATGATGGATGATTTTAATTAGGAGACTATTTAGACATGTTAATTAACTAATAAATGATAAAGAATGAAGCTTCGCATGATATGAACGTAGAAACTTTAAATCAATTTAAATGATTGAAGATTCCATTCATATGTTTTATATATATATAAATATATATTTCTGGGATAATAACAAAACATCATAATAAAAAAAATATTATGGGAGATCGATTTAAAATATAAATTATATATATATATATATATCTTTGCTAAGAATAAAAACCTACCCATTTGTAAGCTCTGAACGAAAACATTTTTTTGTTGTATTATACGATATATATCTAATTGATATATATTTTATTTTGTAATAAATAATTATAGAATATTTCATTTAAAAAAAAAATGCCAATATGCATATAAAAATATTATATATTAAAAATTTTATCATGATTTAAGTAGTTGTAATATATTTTTAGGGAATAAATATTGCATTCGGTAAAAAAATTTAAGTATAACACAAATAATGTATTTATTCTCAAAATATGATTTACAATGTTATATTTTTTTAAATATTGTAAGATTAATTAGTTAAATAATAATTATGATAGCAAAGATTAAATATTGTTTCTAAATATGATTAAAAAATGTTAAGCACAAATTCATTAAATTATAAATATAAATATTATTTGCTTAGTGGTTGGTCCCACGTTGCGCGTCCATGGCTGTATAATTTTGACCAAAAATTTGTCTAACTACTCCTGGTAGGCGCCATTAATTCCATCCTGACGGCGAGATATGAATACATACACATCTACATCCAAGATTATATCATGTAGATGACAGCAGGTTATGTTGGATTTAATATTTAATATTTAAATATTCAAATACAACGACTGGGTGAATTGTCTCCTCGAGATACGAATTCAATCATGCCAGAAATCAAAAAATTAATATAAAATCGTATACTTTGAGTTGACCCATGGCTCAATATCAGACCTGGTCTTTGAGCAGGATAATCTGATCGGAGTTTTGAGGAAAATGGATGAAGCTCTTTACAAAGCAGTGGTGACTAATGACAGACCGGCTTTTCTTGGTCTGGTTCAGGAAAACAACTCACTGCTTGGGCAGAGAGTTTCTGGGTATGAAGACACCGTGTTACACCTCGCGACCAGGCTTGGCCACACTGAGTTGGTATCTGAAATCATCGGGTTGAGTCGCGAAATGGTTTCATCTGAAAATTTCAGAAGGGAAACTCCATTGCATATCGCCTGTTTCAATGGCAATTTTGAGATAGTCAAACTCCTCTTAGCCGTTGACCCTTGGGTGGCTTCAAGGCTTGACTGTGAAAATCAGAGTTCAACCTTCTTAGCTTGCATTAACGGTCATCTCGATGCAGCAGAGCTATGTTTGCAGCAACCAGGAGTTGTGCCATTTGAGGAGACCAAAGCTGCTTTGTGCCTTCGAGTCACCATTGCCAAAGGATTCACAGGTATATATATATATATGTATAGATTCTTATATGCATATGTATCAGACCCGGGGACTCATGTAGTCAGATTTACTGAATTCTGAGATGAATTTGGCAGGTATAGCTAAGAAATTGCTTACCCTGTATCCCAACTACACTTGGAAGGCTGATGAGAATGGATTTATTCCATTACACTATGCAGCTCGTGAATCAAATTTTGAGATTACCAAATTGATATTAGAGCAAGATTTTAGCCTTGTTACACAGTTTAATAATCATGGTTATACACCATTGCATTTGGCTGCAGCAGAAGCGGCAACTCATGAAATTCTTAAAGAATTTCTATCACGTGCTCCATTGTCTTTCAATGTTTTTACAAGAGATGGAGATACAGTGTTTCATCTTCTTGCCAGATCTGGAAAAGTAGATGCCTTTAAGTTTCTAGCACCAATTTTCAACAACAACACTAATTTACTGCGCCAGTCAGACCAGTATGGAAATACGGTCTTACATCTTGCTCTCTGCGCACATTGCTATCCTGTAAGACTAGTCCTAACACAAAATCCGACAATTTTTTTTCTTCACTACAATTTTTTTTTTAAAAACCATGTTCTTGAAACCCTTTAATAACCCATCTAAAGCCAATGATCATGCTAATTCATGAATTATAATAATTCTATTTTTAACCAAAACTACAGTTGGCAGAGTACATAATCAATGAAACAAGAGTGGATCCTAATCAGAGAAACGTGGGAGGATATACAGCTATGGACATTCTCAACCAGGCAGAAAAAACCCCACAAATCCAGCACCTTCAAGAAATATTGGAACAAGCTTGTAGGAAGATGAGTCAACCAGCTGCAATTAAAGTCATGAATGCTCATACTTGGGCACCGGATGATAGAGCAGACCCAGTTGTTTATCCAGGGCAAAATGTTATGACAAATGGTGATCTCAGTGTTGATGGTAAGCAGGACTTGAAAAATACAGAAGATATTTATGAGGAAGATGCTGATGTTCATCAGGGTGATTATAATTCTTCCTCATCTGATCGAAAATCGAAGGAGAAGAAGAGAAGAAGAAGTCATCAACACGGAAAGAAACAGCCCCGTCAGAGACCAAAAGATCCAAAAGTGAAAGATCGCAAGGATCGAACAAGGAGTGAGATTTACACAGAAGCAATGCAAAATGCTAGAAACACAGTGTCATTAGTATGTATTTTGATTGCCACAGTGGCTTTTACCGCGGGAATGAACCCTCCTGGTGGTGTATTTAACGAAGGACCCCTTACAGGGAAGACAACAGTAGGCAAAAAGATGTCGTTCTTCATATTTCAAGTAAGCAACAACCTTGCTCTGTTCTTGTCATTGGGCATTGTCATTTTTATCCTAACTGTAATCCCTAAAGAGGAAAAGCCACTGAGGAAAATACTGGCAATCACTCATAAGTTCATGTGGGCAGCTCTGGTGTGCATGGCAGTAGCCTATGTTGCTGCAACATGGGTGATTTTACCACGCAATGGTCTAGGTAAATGGGAGCTTGGTATTCAACTGGTTATCATTTGTTCGACTATGGGAATCCTAGTTGTCTGGTCAGCTTTCCTGTCTTTGAAACAATGGCGGGTAAACAGGAATAGGAAGAAGAAGAAGAAGAATGAAAATGGAGGTGGAAATATCAGAAGGGTTCATGTCCCATCGGGGAAACAGCGTCCGAGATCTGGCTCTGACTGTTGTTGCTATTCTTGTTTGGCTAAAATTAGTTGTTATTGTTCTAATAGTAGTTCCTCAGGTTACTGCACAATTGTGAGCTCTTCTAATTAATGGAATATTTATGAATAATTCCTGAACATTGAAGCATGTCAACATTTTTTATTTCTTTGTGTGACTATAATTCAAATAAAATTATGCAGGAGTTTGTTTCTTTGCTTCATGATGATAGTATTTTCGTTCATGATTAATTTATTATTAATTATGTTTTTTTTTTAAAAATAAAATTATGCAGGAGTTTGTTTCTTTGCTTCATGATGATAGTATTTTCGTTCATGATTAATTTATTATTAATTATGTTTTTTTTTTTAAAAAAAAAAAATTTCTTATACGTTGGGAAAAATTTCAAGAGATATAATAATTTTAGATAATATTTTTGTTGGAAATGGGAAGAAGAACGAGGAGAGACTAACAAAAAGATAAAATTTTTTAATTTATGATTGTTCAAATAAAATTTTCAAATACATGAATATAATATAAGTACTAATACAACTTTTAAAATTTCAAATACATAAACTATAATTAAGTATAATATATAAACGATTAATAAAAACTTAAAAAGAGAGAAATTAATTATCGTATTCATAACATACACTTAACTCCCTAGTAATACAAAGAGTTTGTCCGTAATAAAATTTGTACACTGATATTTTTAACACTTCTTTTTCACTCTAAGACTAACAAATAGTCTTTGAAAAATTTCAAACTTGAGTGACTTGATAAAAATATCTGCAACTTCATCTTGGGTCTTCATGTACTTGAGTTTGACTTCTTTTTTAATAATGCAATCGGTAATGAAATAGTACCTTGTATCTATATGATTCATTCATCCATGAAATATTGAATTCTTAGCTAATGATTATCCAGAATTATCGTTAATAGAAATTTTAGTAACTCTCTTTTGAGCCAAGTGAAGTTCCTTCAAACCTTTCAGTTTCAAGTCAATATCTTTCTCTTTCTCCCTAAGTTTCTCCAATTTCTTATCCAATGCATGTTCTCATTTTGCAGTCTTTTCCTCCATGTGTTTTACTTCAGCTACTTTTTTCTCCACTTTCGTAACCTTAGTTTCCAAGTCGTGATTCACAGAGTTTCTCTTCTCACAAATTTCAATTCAAATTCAGGCTTCTTGGCATCCAACATGGCATCAGATTCATCAAGGAATTTCTGAATTTTAACCTTTTCTCTAGTATGCTTTTCCTCTACTGCAAGGAATTCCTTCTCTTTCATCTCTATGTTCTTTCTCATAGCATAATGCTCCTACTCTTTTGAAGTTATACCTTTGAGCCTGCAACTTATATCATTTTCTTTACTATTCAAGTCTAATTAGTTGCATTAATTTTCTTGTGTCTCTTCAAGGTCCTACTCCTTAAGCTTAATCATCTTATCATTTTTATTTGCGCTCTCATCTTATTGATGCGAAACCGTAAGACCCTTACTTGAACCTTAAAACTCTTCAATCAATCTGGAACAGAATTTAGATCATAAGTAAAAAGGAATCAAATTTGTTCAATCACCTAAATGGTAGAAGTTAAATAGAACCCAAGAAAGATAAATGATATTTCTTGAACCCAATCCAAACAAGTACCAAGAACAATTGAAATAGAAAATCAAAATTAAAATACAAGTGTTACCAATTCTATTCCAAATCAACACCTTGTGCATAAAGTGAAAAGAACGCCAAAACGCTTTCAACTCAATTATGAAATATTTGATTACAACTCTTGATGTCCACAAAGAAGAGTTCATTTGGTATTTATAGCCAAAGAAATCAATGATAAGCAAATTCAACAAATTGTAGCATATCTTCCCAAGTAACATTCCTTCCAATTAAAGCACGTAATAATGTATCAAGTATTCTATTTACTACTTCAGTTTAACCATCCGTTTGTGGATGTGACGTAGTAGAAAATAAAAGTTTGGTCCCAAGTTTAGACCACAAACTCGCCAAAAGTGGCTTAAAAACTTAACATCCTGATCGGACACAATGGTTTTAGGAATGCCATGTATTCTAACAACTTTATAGAAAAACAAATTTGTTATATGTGTGGCATCATCTGTTTTGTGACATGATATAAAGTGTGTCGTTTTAGAAAAATGATCAACAACAACAAATATTGAGTCTCGGTCTTTTCTAGTCCTAGGCAAACCCAACAAAAAGTACATAAAAATATCAACCTAAGGATGTGTAGGAATGGGTATGGCATATATAATCCATGTGGTTGAACTCTATACTTAGCTTGCCTATATGAGATGTACTGCGCACAAATTTTCTCAATATGTTTGCGCATATTAAGTCAAAAGAAATGTTCATATAAAATGCTTAAAGTTTTGTCAATCCCAAAATGTCCTTCACGAACAAGCAATTCCCTAATAGAAATATCGTACGTTCACAAGCCACATAAACATTTAAAAAATCACTATCATGCACATACAATTCTTTGAAATGCTCATCCCAACAACTTTGTAGAAATAGTAGAGATAAGATTGTACCTTCTTGAAAGCACATCAGCTACCACATTTTCTTTTCCTTGCTTATATTGGATCACATATAGGAAGGACTATGAATTCCACCCATTTTGCATGTCGTTTATTAAGCTTGCCTTGCCCTTTCAAATGCCTCAAAGATTCATGATCGATGTGAATCACAAATTCTTTTGATAATAAATAATGATGTCATGTCTCTAATGCTCTTACCAAAACATAAAACTCTTTGTCATAGGTGGAATAATTCAATTGTGCACCATTGAGCTTCTCACTGAAGTAAGCAATGAGTCTTTTATCCTACATAAGAACAGTACCTATCCCAAACCCAGAGGCATCGCATTCAATTTCAAAAGTTGAATCAAAATTAGGCAATCTTAATAAAGGCGCATTACATAACTTTTCTTTCAATAAGAAAAATACATGTTCTTGTTCTTTTTCCCAAAAAAACCCTTATCTTTTTTCATGATTTCAGTTAAATGGGTAGCAACGGTGCTAAAATCTTTTACAAATCTTCTATAAAAACTTGTCAAACCATGAAAACTACGCACCTCACTTACACTTTTAGGTGTCGGCCACTCTTGAATAGCCTTTACCTTTTCACTATTTATATCGATTCTTTTTGCACTCACGACATATCCTAAAAAAATGATGCGATCAATGCAAAATGTACATTTCTTCATGTTAGTATATAGTTGAAAGTTGTGCAATGTGTCAAACACTTACCTCAAATGCATGACATGCTCATCAATAGATTTGCCATACACAAGAATGTCATCGAAGTAGACAACAACAAACTTTCCAATAAATTCACATAAAACATGGTTCATTAAATGCATGAAAGTACTTGGCGCATTAGTTAAGCCAAATGGCATAACCAACTTCTCATATAACCATTGTTTTGTTTTAAAAGTAGTTTTCCATTCATCTCCTAGTTTCATTCTTATTTAGTGATAACCACTTTTAAGATCAATTTAGAAAATACACAAGCACCATACAACTCATCTAACATATCATCAAGTCGAGGTATTGGATGTCGATATTTTACCGTTATTTTGTTGACGGCTCTACAATCAACACACATATGCCAACTACCATCTTTTTTGGGTACTAATAAGATGGGCACTGCGCATGGACTTAAACTTTCTCGAATGTGCCCCTTTTGTAAGAGCTCATCCACTTGCCTTTGAAGCTCTTTGGTCTCCTCGAGATTGTTCCTATTGGCTGGTCTATTTGGTATGGCATCCCCGGGAATGAATTCAATTTGATGTTCAAAGGTGGTAAACCTTGAGGTAGATCATCAAGAAAGACATTACTAAATTCCTGCAAAACTTCAACCACAACACTTGGCAAAGAATGGTCAAGTTCGTTAGTTGAGAAACAAGTTTCCTTGTACGTGAGTACAATAATTGGCTTGTTATAAAATAAAGTTTTTCTCACATATCTCATTTTAGCATAAAAGCTCATTTTCTTTCCCTCATTCTTTTTTATGGTCTCTTTCTTTTTCTTTTTGATCTTCATTTTTCCACTAATTTTCTCTCACTCTTTTTTCTTTTCTCTTTTTTTTTTCTTTTCTTTTTCTCTCGGCCTCTCTTTGTGCAAATTCATCATAGGACTTTTCAAGTTGCATTTGGTCTTCAAAAACTTGTTTAGGTGGTTAAAAGAAGAAAAGTATACTTTTTGCCCTCTTTTCCTACCATATACCTATTGAGATACCTATCATGGATCACTCTCCTATCCCATTACCATGGTCTACCCAACAAAATATGACTAGCTTGTATAGGAACTACATCACATGTCACCTCATCACTATACTTCCCAATAGTAAAATGCACCCTCACTTGCTTATTAGCTCTCACCTCCACACTATTGTTAAGCCATTGTAGTTTATAAGGTTTAAAATGTTTTGTAATTTCCAAACCCAGTTTATCAACAAATAAGGTACTAGCCATATTTACACAACTACCCCCATCAATAGTCATGTTATACAATTTTTCATTCACTAGACATCTAGAATGAAAAATGTTATCTCTTTGCAACTTAACCCCCTCATCATCATTCCTTAGTTATGTATTCAAAGCACCCTTAGAAACCAACAATCTACCTTCCATAAGTGTTTTTCCATCACTACAATTCTCCAAAGGAGGCATTTGATCCTCCACATCACTCTCATAATCCGTTTCAACACCATCACCATGCATCACCATTAACCTTTTATTTAGGCATTGAGATGCAATATGACCAAAACTCAAACATCTGAAACACTTGATATCTCAATTCCTAGGAGTTTGGGAGTTAGAAATACATTTATTTTTATTATCATTAACATCTTTTGGCTTGGTTTTGTTATCTCTTTTGAATTGTACAGCCTTGTTATCTCTCCTCCAATTCGGCCTCCAATTGGAGTTTTGGGCCTAATAAGTGTTGGCTTGCCTTATGTTCCCCTTTCGCTTTAATTGTCTTTCAATCTTTATAGCCATGTGCACCATATTATCAATCTCCATATAATGTTGAAGCTCTACAATATTGGTTATGTCTTTGTTAAGGGCAATTAAGAACCTTGCTATAGTAAAGCATCATCTTCAATATTAGCCCTTATCATGGCTATCTCCATCTCTTTGTAGTAGTGTTCTACACTCTTGTTCCCTTGTATAAAGTCTTGCAATTTTTGATGTAAGTCCC